CAAATAAGCAATTCACTTACTGAAGAGGAGAAACAAATCAAATACCTTGGTGTGCTCATTGACAGATTTCCTAAGCTTACCTATCACATCAGTTTTGTTGCAAGCACATTAAGTACAAACATTGGAGTAATAAGTAGGATTAGGTATCTCATTGATAAACAACGTCACTTCTACTCTATAACGCTTTAATTCTTCCCTATTTAATTTGCTGCTGATTGATTTGGGGTGTAAGTTATGCTTTTCAACTAGATCGGTTAGCAATTTTGCGAAAAAGACCTGTGCGTCTGACAGAAAACGTGTGCCCTCCACAAGGCTCCGAGCCCATCTTTAAACGCTACAAAACTGTGAAATTATCGGATATCGCTAAATCCCGAATGTGAACTGTACTGTAATGCACAAATTTCTAATTTCACAGCTTCCTGCGTCACTCGATGCAATATACAAGCTCTACGAATCAAAGTAAATGGATATGAGGCGGGCAAAACATTTGGAGCAATCTCTTTCCAGTCGTAATTGTAGAATATTTACAACATCTTGCCTTGGCCCCAAACTGTAAAGCGACATAATGATTTCATGTTTTCCAAGAATAAGTGATATCTCTGCATCAAAAACTATCGTCAAGAATATCATCCGCAAGCATTTCGAGAATAAATGTTAACGTAACCAACCTATTCGATGATGTTGCAATTTTTTGCCCTGTACGTATGCAACTCACTTCACATTCAACCTCCCTCATGTTCTATAATCACGTTCTGATATAGTTATATTCATGAACTTGTACCCAAACTCATGACGCTGGCTCCGGGAGTTCTCCCAGCAACAAGCTTCGCTTAACTGAACTCTTTGGACATCCAGCTCAAAACCCAGCACGAAAATGAACAATTGGTTGCCCCTCCGATTCGTGTGACTGTAACATTTACTCACACTGTGAATGAGTGGTTGTGGCTCATTGGGTGGTTCTAGCGGGCTGACATTAACTGCTTTGCCTATGACTACTTTAAGCCTTCTTATGCGTGAATCGTCCTTGCCTATTGCATAACACAATTCTTGATAGGTCTGCACCACCCCTTCGCCTGTTCCTTTATGAATGTTTTCTCTTCCCAGCTGGGAGTGCCGCGACTTGATTTTATGTATTCTGGTGTTAGCGCACGGTTTATTGTGTCGCTGGGATAGAGGGGGGGGGGGTGGGGGGGGGGGGGGGGGGGGGGGTGGGGGGGGGGTGGGGGGTTGGGGGGGGGCACTCCTGGTTACCTTTTCTTGGGTAGCGGTACAGAAAAAACATCCATCCCAATATGTATTTATATGTTTCATTTACTGCTAGCGTTGGGCTGAGCTCCGAATAATTGGAAGCGATGGCAATGGTCGGAACCAAAGGACTAGTCCTGGCTCCTGGATCAGTGTTCTCTAAAAATAGCAATACCCTGTGTCTAAATTAATTTCAAGTTCAGCATAAACAAAAGAGGTCTGCAGATGTTATCAGCACTGACAGTAATGCTATGACCTATTTGCATACAAGTATGCTGTAGAGCCCCATGTCAGGTATTTAGCTTATTCCTACCCTCTCAACGAAATAACTTAGACTTCTGGGAGTGTTTTTACTTGCAGTTTTATCGTCGGATATCCTCTATTAACTCGATGTCGTAGCAGCACCAGACCATAGAGCAATTTATCTGACAAAGGAAAGAAAGGTCTTGAGCTCCTAGTTCTTTGGCATTCTGCGTTTTGAGCTCCAGTTTCGAAAAAAAGAAGAAAGTAATAGTTGTTTCCTCGTGACCATGAGAGCCATCAGGAGTTTTCTCAAAATGTATTCAAATGTTTGCTTAATAATATTAGTACATCAGTACTTATCTATTAAGGTACTATATTTATTACTATATTTATTACTATATTACTATATCAGTACTATATTTATTATTATTTATATATGTACTGGCTATTATTAAGTACTAATACACTAGTACTTAATAATAGCCAGTACATCAATTTATATAGGAGTAAAAGGTTGATTATTTAAAAATAAATCGTAACCCACCAGTGCTGTTCGCGAAGACGCGAAGAAAATCTGTCTTTCGAAGTGAATTTGCGCGTAATTTGCTAACGAGCCGTAGACCGGGCAGTGAGTGAGCCCGTCGTCTAATCCCACTGGACATAATTACAACAGGGTGAAAAGAGCTGGAATGGAACAAGTGTCAATACAGCGGCAAACAAACTTTTTATAACATTTCAATAGTCACTACCAGTTAGACCAATACCTGACTTACGCGGTGGTCAGCAGTGCACTGGTGCTTCAGTGTCAGAAGTGAAAATAGCGTGGAGGCACCGCAGAAACGATACAAAGTTATTGCAAGATCTACATGGAGATACGGTAGATCATGATCAAGCATATCATGGCCGTCGTGAATATGAAGTAACTGGGACCTCTTAAATATATTTCTGGTATTTCGGGCATCGTTGTTTTCTTTCTCAAGTACCGTGATCACGAAAGCCAACCATGTTCGATTTGGGAATATGGATACTATGGTGTGCCATACTACGGTACGCATGAGGGGCGGTTAATTTATTAAACTGAATATTTGCCTCAAAACGGATCACTTTTTCACCTAAAGGGCCGGAATTCTGTGAGGTAAAAGCTGGGGGGGGGGGGGGGGGGGGAGGCTTGCCGAACCATTTTTGGTTTGCCCGCCAACTTTGAAATTGTTCCTGATCGTTCCCGCTCCTCTGTCGCACTGTCTCTGTACAGAACAGCAAAAAATCCGGCAAAGCCCCTGAGTGGCATCACTCATAAAACGTCTGCAAGACAATTACAAAATGAACAAAACGGCGACGGTGGTTTTTCTGTGTAATCGTGTAAGGCATTTCTTCAGATTATTGACCTCAAAACACTAGCAGAATGACATCCTTTGGAGCCTTCGGGCTTGTTTTGGTATTAAAATTAGATAGAGCAAATTGTGCCCCTTGAAATCAAGAGGGTCATACCTGGTAATGTTTTGGGCGAGGGCCTTTCACCAGGAGGGGTCATTCGTCAATCTTGTGCCCCTCCCCTTACCAAGATTCTGACTGCGCATCTGCGTGGGTGAGATCATTATCGCATGTGACCAATGAAAAGGCAGCTCAAATAGCGACGCTTTCACACTTAATCTTCGATGCGCATGACACTGACCTCACGAGGCTTCATTTGTAACGCCTTCGAACTGAAGCGGGTCTCTTTTTGTGGAAATGGAAGCGGGTCTGAGCCTCTTTCCCTCCAGGGGCGCAAAGGCTCGGAACAGTGTCCCCCGGAAACAGAGCAGGCTTGCGAAGCGTGCGTAATGAAGCGAGCGGGGCAGGCATTCCCAACAGGAGGACATCTACTTAGGCTATCTGGGGAAATGTCGAGGACCATTTTCGTAACTGGTGTAGGGAGGAGCACATATGTTTTGTGTTGATATAACTGAAATGCATATGTGCATAATCCATATAATCGATGAAAGTTCAGTTTGTCGGGAACCTGCGCGCAAAGGAGTTGTAAAACCACATGTATTGTGAGCACTGTATCCTTGTTAGTGCATATGTGAATATAACAAATAACTGAGAAATTAGTGGGAGATATGCGCGCATTTCGCCTTTGGATATGCGAGATAGAGATGGCACTTTACCCTTTCAGCTTTACAAAACATGCACATTTGTAAGAAGCTGATGCAGACCGCTACGTGATTTCGACGACCATGCGCATGAGCCTTAAGGAACATGTAGTTATTGTAGGTTATATTATTGTCGTACCTATTCCCTGGCGGCGACTTCCGAGACCGTAATCCCTAAACATTTTGAGAAATCGACAACCATAACTATCAGTGATATTCGTTTCGATACAGGCATGGAGCTGAAATATCAATGCATCTATTTCCCGATTTCCCTGACTATCCTACCCGGAATGAGGCTTTTAGTACCGTCTTTTTATACAAATCCGGAGCATAAAGGGAGTGCCTAAAGCAGCTCGAGAACATCACGCCACTGCTGGGCGCGTTGGAAGGCGGGCGCTCCGACCAACAGCTGAGCTATCGGAACGGACAGGCGGCTTAGAACAAGTCACTTCCAAATCACAATATTTTTCATGCGTATCCATGTGTCGATTTGACTTTTCAGTAGCCGACAACTACTAAAACATGCGTATGACTTTATAAAATTGTATTACCATATGGCTAGGTCCCAGGTGCATATCATGCTAGTTTCAACAAAATCTGACGCAATGTAAAGCACGCCACCGATTGTGTCGGAAATGCGAATGCTTAAACATTCTGTCACTTTACCAATATTCAATATACTAGTGATACTGCTGGAGACATTCGTTTGATGTCACATGGCGATGGCCTTTAGAACTTATTTTGTTGCTGAATCGTTTGGACAATGGGTGCCCGTGTTTATTTCTCCGATGAGTATTTAGAGCTTAATTGCCTGCGAAGCTGTGTCTGATTGGGTTGGAGCTCCGAGCGCAACAGACATGTGAGGAAATGTAAGAACTAGCAAACTGACCAGACTCGTTATCCAAGGATAATCTGACGACGGTCTCGCCAACATAACCGCTGGAGACTCTGGTCTCGAAGACTAGACTAAAAATAAAGACCAAAGGGCTGTCTTAAAAGCGTAGCTGAAAATCTGCATTATTTGGCACTTGAATTTTCCGCATTTGATCGTACGCAATTGTTTTTACGCCTGCACACTCTCGAAAGCGTAAAACGCTTGAAAATTGTGGAAAACGTTCTCTAACTTTCCCACGTTTTCGAACAGCAGACGTGGGGAAGCGACGAAGTGTAAAAGTGCATTGGAGCATGGGTAGTTATGCGTTCGTGCTGGTCAATAGGCTGTTGTTGAGTCCATCGCGGAGCACAGGCACCCTCATGTGCGGCGTATCCTGGCTGGAGGACCTCGCAATGTCGAACAAGTTGTTGCGGAGAACGTCGAAGATTCAGGCACCTTTCCACCCAACGCTCTCATCTGGTGGGTTGTACAATGCACATACGCCATAGCCTATGAGGTTTGTATTTAGAGCGACACTAGAAATGTGCAAACGGGTCACATAAAATTACAAAAGGCCATATATTGATAAGAGAGCTGAGCATCCTTACAAGCGAAACAATGCGCCGGCTCATCCTGGCCCGAAACATTTACACACAATTAAACACACATGCATATGTACTCATTGCATGATTCGCGGCGCGAAAATCACATTAGCTACAGCTCCTGACACGGCCGCCCGGCCGGACGTCCGCTTCTCTCCTCAGCCGCCAGCACCCGCAGCCGGCCGGGCACCCGCACCCGGCCGATCACCCCACCGCGAGCAGTCTCACCTCGCGCTAAACATCCACTTACACCCGGCGCAAACAAGGATTGCGGCAGAGAGGCGCGCACGAGCAAGCACGAGCGAGCCACGCTCCGGCTGCGCACGTCGCGCCCCGCTCGTTCGTATGACCAACCACAGCTCGTCCGGCAGACGATGCAGCCCACGGCCCGCGGCCCGCAGCTCGCGGCACATGGGCAGCGGCTCGCAACCCATGGCTCGTGACCCACGGCTCACGGTCCATGACCCACGGCCGGCAGCTCGCGACCCACGGCTCACGGTCCAGAACCCACGGCCCACAATCCACGGCCCACGGCTCGCGACCCACGGCTCACGGTCCATGACCCACGGCCCACAGCTCGCGACCCACGGCTCGCGGTCCAGGACCCACGGCCGACAGTCCACGGCCCACGGCTCGCGACCCATGGCTCGCGACCCACGGCTCACGGCTCGCGGTCCAGGACCCACGGCCGACAGTCCACGGCCCACGGCTTGCGACCCATGGCCCACTGCCCGCAGCTGACGGCCCGCGGCCCGCCGCACAGCGACCAAGCACCGCAGACTAGAGTCCCGCGCGCGCGGCGGCGCGCCGGTCGGCTACACGATGCGTATGGCGCGCTCCCGACTCTCCTCGTAGCGGCTCTCGCGCCGGCTCAGGCTCGGCGGGCTCTTCTTCTTGCGCTTGGCGCAGCGGAAGCTCTCGGAGAACACCTCGCCGGTGCGCAGTGCCGAGATGAGGTCGTCGAACTCGCGGTTCTGGTCGTGCTTGGGCTCGAGCTCGGCGCCGTCACGTTTCAGCTGCGACTCGCGGTGTCCGCGCCGCTGCAGCGTCATCTGCTTCAGCTGCGGACGCCGCACGGGCCGGTCATCGGAAGAAGGGGGAAGGGGGGGGGGGGGGGGGACTCGACGGCGCCGTGCTTCGGGGGACGCCGAAATGCTCGCGGAGCTGCAACTGCCACTGGCAGTTTTGCCCCTGTTTTCAGGAGAGCTGCGTTGTTATGCCTCGTAGTGACGTTACATCAATGTTTCGGGTCAAAGCTTGTTTTCCTCATCGTTCTTTTGGGCGGCAATATTTGTTATGGGCAACAAAATCCTCTTCCCCTATATTGTCATGTCATAAACTGCAGGTTTGTGCTGAAATCTCATCCTGCTGTCGCTGCTGTAGTCACTCACCTCCTGCTCGTGCCGCAAACGCTTCTCCTCCTCCTCCCTCTTCTTCCTGACGTTGATGTTGTCCTCCGTGGCCATCATGAAGGAGTTCAAAAAGGCGTCAAAGATGCCGAAGAACTCATCTGGATGTGCACTCGCGGGATCCTCGCCAAAGAAGTGCGCCACCTTTTCGAACTATGGAAGAAATACCGTCAGCACACCGTGAGGTAGCTATGTACTTAATACAACACCGTACAAAAAATCCATGGAAGCTCTCCTTAGAAGGTATGCCTCAACCCTCCATGTATTAACTAAAGGAGTTTTAGAAACGCATCAAAATGTGTTCGCCAAGCCCCCTTGAACGGTCCATTGTTTATATTTACGGCACACGGCAATTGTGAAGCGTTCCTGTGGAAGAACGCTGGCAGCTCGCCTCTCGTTCCTGAGCCTGAGCAAGCTGGCGTTGAGCCGACACTGAACCAGTTGCCTGTGCACAGAGCCACCCGACTAGCATCGGGTCACAGGCCAGCATCTTGTGAGACCGTCCGCCGGATCAGCTGTGTGTGCACCAGGCCAAACCAAACTGACCCTGCTCTTCATCTCGGCGAACTCGTCCTCCAGCTGGCGCGACTTGTAGGTGGCCTTGGCGGCGAACTCCTTCATGGTGGGCACGAACAGGTCACCGCTGTCGGCCGGCCGCGTCCGCTGGTAGTCCAGCTCCTTTTGGATGTCCTTCAGACCGGCTCGGATCAGCGACATGTCCTTCTGCAACTCGCTCATGCTGCCGGCGGAGACAGGTGTCAAGGTCTGGTCAAGTGGAATCAACAAACAGCGACATGTCCTTCTGCAACTCGCTCATGCTGCCGGCGAAGACGGGTGCCAAGGTCTGGTCAAGTGGAACCGGCGGCTACAGGACAGACATTAAGAACCCAAATAACGCATCAAAACAGGTTCGTTTGAAAAAGCTTGCGTGCAATAGCAATGCGGAACGCAGAATGCAGAACACAGAGCTATGGTTCCGACCCCAAAAGCTGTTTTGTATGGCAACAAGTCAAGCCGTAGGGGTCTTAATTTACAAAACCAACGAAACTTCCACAAGTAGTGAATGGCTATAATCAGAAGAGGTGCCTTGATGAATACGGAACGGAGGAAGCTATCGCCTCAGCCGCATATTTGTGAAAGCATAAACCAGCACAGAAAAACGTACTTCAGCTGCTGCACAACGCCACACACCTGACTTTGGACGCCTCGCGCACATTGCTCAGGTCCTCCTCCAGGCGCAATACGTCGGGGAACTTGGTCTCCAGCAGCTCCACGATGTAGTGCAGCAGCGTCACGTGCTTGCGCGTGCTCGACTTAGTGTCGCCGATCCTGCGCAAGCTCTCCAGTCGGAAGCCCTGGGCGTTGCCGCGCTGACCGCGGTTCATGTAGTTGCCGAACGCCAGCACCAGCTCCAGCAGCTTCTTGAGCCGGCGACTGCGTTGCAGCTCCTTAGCGGCCTCCACCACCGCTGCCACCCGAGGCCGGATCTCAGCCAGACGCTCGTTGAAGCGCTTCTTATAGAAGAGCGACTTGAGGCGCGCCTCGTAGTGGGTGATCCTGCGGGCGGGAAGCAGGGTGGTGAGGCCAGCCGCTGTGCACAGCGGGGTGGTGAGGCCAGCCGTTGAATACAATGGGGTAGTGAAGCCAGCCGCTGTGTTCAATGGAGTGGCGAGTCAAGCCGTTGTGTACAGCGGGATGGTGAAGCCAGCCGTTGTGCACCGCGGGGTGGTGAGGCCAGTCGTTGCGTACAGCGGGATGGTGAAGCCAGCCGTTGTGTACAGCGGGCTGGTGGGGCCAGCCGTTGTGTACAGCGGGCTGGTGGGGCCAGCCGTTGTGTACAGCAGGCCTGCTGTTGTGTGGTCGCGGCGATTCTTAAACATGCTTTCATTCAGCTTTCATGTTATATGCAGTCGCGCGGGCCTATGTAACAGCTCGGCATAATCGCGTCTATGTAGTAGGATACAAGATGCCTTGGGATCGGTGCCAAGTGCTATCGAGGTGATTGGCTTGAAAACGTTTATTGCTGAGTTTATGGCAGAGTTTGAGGGGAGTGCGGAAAGCTGCTAACAGCAATACTCACTGTGATATTTCATACAGGAAGCGGTCGGCCCTGGCTAAGCTCTTCAGCTCATCGCTGTGCTCTTCCAGTAGCGCTTTCTCCTCAGCGGATGGCGTGAACTTCAGCAGCTGCTCCACCATGTCCGGCGGCAGCTGGTCCTTGGCGTCCATCGACATCAGGGCCCTGAACAGGAACAGTCGTCAAGTGGGAACAATGACCATCCGATCTTTGAATCTCTCACATCCTGTATAAGCTAAAAAACTACTTTTTGGATAAGAGTTGCCTCTCCAGCTGTCTCGCGAGCTGGCTCTTGTGCTCGAACGCCGAAGCAAAACACGTAACTTGAAACGCTGTTCGTAAGGGATAAAATGCGGCGTGGAACAGCGTGCTGTTCGCAGTGGGTCAAGAGCCGCGAGCGCTTCCACAGGATGTCACATTTTGACTAACACAGCTGGCAGGACACGGGATTAGGGGTGGATTTTCACGGTCACGCGGCCTTCTTCGCGTTTTAACCACGACGTAGACCTATTGCAGGACAGTTCTTCAGGTCGCCCGCGGCCAACGCCTAAAGCCTCAAAGGTGCGTCAGCGCTGCTCACAGTTTGATCTCCTTGTCGGTGAGCTTCAGCTTGGAGAGGAGGATGGTGCAGTTCTGCGCTCGCCGGGCGTCCACCACGCTGATGACCTTGTTGCGTGACCGCGTCAGCGTGCCGGCGTTCGTCAGGTCGTCCAGCGAGCTGTCCAGCTAGGGCAGGAGGCACTTCGTCACACAATGCCGGACAGACAGGCTAACAGCCGAGCCGCCATACATCTCCTCACGTTACCGCTGAGAGCATCGTTCACTCACGCACTTGAACAGCACTCGGTTGGGTTATTTGTGCTTTGGGACACGGTCGTGCAGCCTCGAAGAGCCTCGACATCCTGCTGCACACAGCAGGCATGCCACCAAAATCCAGCCAAACTCACAGATTAGCATTCCGTGCAAAGCACAGGCTCCACCTGCCAGCGACGCACCGGGCTGCGACACGCATACAGCACCAACTGGCCGCTTCCGAGGACAGCCTACCCCGGCGTGAGCACCGCCGGGCCGCGTCGGCGAGCGACCGTGCTCACCTGGCCGCTTCCGAGGACAGCCTGAGGACAGCCAGCCTGACGCGGCCCGGCGTGAGCACCGCCGGGCCGCGTCGGCGAGCGGCCGTGCTCACCTGGCCGTGCTGGCGCTGGTACGCCGAGAACGTCCGGTCCACGTCCGCCAGATCGATGCAGCTGTACAGCCGCTCGTCGTCGAGGTCGCTCCAGATGGTGCCGTTGATCCTGTTGGACGGCAGCTTGGACCAGTTGAAGCTCTTGAGCGGGTTGCCGGCCTTCGGCACGTTCTTCTGCTTGGTCGTCGCCGCCACGCCGTTGACGAGCGGTGGCGGCGGCGGGACGCCGCCCGGCGGCGGCGGAGGCGGCGGCGGCGGCGGCGGTGGCGGCGGCGGCGAGCCGGCACCGACCACGGAGCGCGAGGGCAGCCCAGAGCCGACGCTGGCCGCCTGGTCCGAGCTGGCGTCCTTCAGGCCGCGGCCGGAGCTGTACTGCAGCTCCTGCAGCCGCTGGATGGCCTGCAGGTGGCCTGGGGACAGCGTGACTGGTGTCAGCTTCTCTGAGGCGTGTGGAGACCCCGTGTGGTCTGACGCACGAATCGTGGCAATACTGACGGCACACGCCTGATGTCTATCTGCGCCTCGACCACATGAACAGTCGGTGCAGATGACCTAGAAATACGAGCGGGCGCCGCGGGTGAGACATAACATCTAGAACATAAGGCCCGTCAACAAACCAAGTCATTTCTGCGTACATAAATATCTATGTAAGCGGAATGGTCTACTTATCAACCTTTTGGGTCGATAAGAAGACACAACGAAATGAAATTTGGCCGGTCATTGTCTTCGCCTTTGACGACATTAAGACTGTCTTAACAATGGCTACAGAAAACTTGCACGTCAAGTGGGGTGGGATGGAGACGCCCGGCCACCGCTGGCCACGGCCGCGGAGGTGCTTACCCATAGCCTCCGTCTCGAACTTCTCCTGGAGCCGGTTAAGACTGGAGCTGAGGTCATCCCTCTCCTGGGTCTTGACGTCGCACTCCTGCTCCTTCTCGCTGAGCTTGGTCATCAGGTCCAGGTTCTCCTTCTCCAGCTCCTCCGCCTTAGTCAAAGCCCCTCGCAGCTCCTCCTCTTTGGCCAGCCTGAGTACGGATGTTTTGCGTCATGCACGCACAAACAGGTCTAGTTTGGAGTTTCAGCGCACCTCTCTCCATCCACATGGCTTTCTGTGCATGCCATGTCTGATGCAAAACATCCCAGTTGTGATTGTGAGCTTATCGGCGGTAATTTGATAGATATCCTGTTCCCCGCATGACAAAAAGAGCCGAATTAAGAGAAGCATGGGCCATGTCATTCAATCGCCGACTGCTGCGCGCGTGCGCAGGACGCCAAGCACACGCTTCGAACAGGCGAGCATCCAGGCAGACACGCCGGCTCTGCCGCCGGCGCCGGCCCTGCGCGACAAAGGCGGGCGCCGTAGTTCAAATGGCATGCCCGGCGCCGTAGGTCGGATAGACGCACCCGCCTCGCGACCAGAAACTTGTAGGTGTCAGGGGACGGTGTGGGATTAAGTAAATGGTGGATAAAGGATGAGCAAACTAACCAAATGGTAAATGAATTTATGCAGCTTTTCCGCACTGTCCACATGAGTAACACCATCCAATCGCAACGTGACGACTCAACTACCGGTATGACAGCTGCGATATGGAGAGAGAGAGAGAGAAAAAAAAAACACCGTGCGCATAACTGTCAGATATCACGCACTGTTCTCCTCTGCAACTATGTGCATTGGTTTATAATTCGACATCAGCAACAAGAGCCAAACGCCTTGCCGATGCACAAACGACAGATTACGATATGTCGCGAGGACTCACATCTGGACCACTGTGTTGACGTTGATGTCGACGGGCCGCAGGTCGCGGTCCTCGCCCCCCTCCGACTGGAGGATCATCTGCTGGCAGATCCGGTCGAACAGCAGCCAGTGGTGCGGCTGCGTGCCGTAGTCCACTGCAACAGTCCCGGCGCGTCAGTCAGAGGGTCGCCGACGCCCCGCGGCCGGCGCAGCGGCCAGCGTCGCGACGAACGTAGCCTCTCAACGGTCCTGCGAGGCTGATGTGGTAGCAGGAGGCCTACACACTGCCATCTGAAGTAACATAGCAGGCTGGTCGTACCGACAATGGCCTGGGAGGCCGCCTGCTGTCGAAATCGGATGAGGTCGGGTCATGCCTGGACGTACACAGATCGCGGTCTCCCCGCTCCGCATCGTGGCCCACCAGGCGGGGGTTCCTCGAGCTGTACCACTATAGGTGGCGCTTCGTCGGCCGCCTCAGATTGATCGCCGCGGGGTTCGCGTCAGGACCAGGCGTACGCATTGGCTCACTGCGCAGCAGCAGGCAGAGTCGCAGGATAGGCAGTAACTCACGAGAGGGTTAGGGACAGCGCCGCGAGATGTCACATAGCTCACGACACCCTCAGAGACCGTGCGCGGGGACCGCGACTCACGAGAGGCTTAGGGACAGCGCCGCGAGATGTCACAGAGCTCACGGCACGCTAAGAGACCGCGCGCGGGGACCACGACTCACGAGAGGGTTAGGGACAGCGTCACGAGATGTCACAGAGCTCACGGCACGCTCAGAGACCGCGCGCGGGGACCACGACTCACGGGGCAGTAAGAGGCAGTGCTGCAGCAGCGACAACAGGTGCGGGTAGGCGGCCGTGTTGTTCAGCTTGTTCCTCAGCAGCTCGAACATAGCCGTGGCCGACTTGGTGTCCACGTGCACCTCCCCATGCCGCCTGGCCAGCTCGCGCTCGTCGTCGGTGCGCACCAGCTCAAAGAAGTCCAGATGCCTGCGAGAAAATCGGGGAAGGGTGGGAGTTAGGTGCACTCCAGATGGGACGAGGAGTGGGAGTCAGGCACGCTCTAGATGTTCGCGATAGAAGGGAGTGGAGATGGGATGGGGTTTCAGGCATAATCTGGACGGTGGATGAGATCCTGAGATCTGTGACCACATGAACACCTGCCCTGAGGGAAAGACGTCGCTTGTTTGCACTTTCGATCACCAGGCCCATGTCTTACCATGCAACCGATACGAGCACGATACCAAGCCAGTGATTGTCACATCTATTCGTGCGCTGGTCCACATTGACAGCTCCGGCCCTGGTTACGGATGCCGGCGTACTTAGCCGTCGGACCGCAGCACTCACAGTCACTCATCATTCAGCGGCTTTGTTTGTACGATGGTGGTAAGCCGAGCAGGGCTGACCATTTCAGGAGAAAAGTCTGTACTAGATCGGTTAGAGCCCTAGGTGATTTAATTGGAACGACACGCCATCAGCCCACAGATACTGTGGAATAGATCTGGCGACGGTGTCTCGACAGCTCTGAGCTTAGGTGAATACCAGACTGCGTTTTCATAGCGTCGCGGATTAAGGAAGAGGATGACCTTCGTTCTTCATCGCCATCTGATCGGGTGGTGTGGCGCTCAGCCCCTGTTTACATCTGTCATGGGTATGTTCTTGACAATCTGCATACCCGCTTCTTGGGTATCCCATGCGAGTGTTCCGTGTCCACTCTGTCCACTCTATGAGAGAGTGGACACTCCTGTATCCAGGCTTTCACGAGCGCGCTCACATTTCAGGGGAACCTCCTTTGGTTTTGACTCTCTCATCATCCTGACTTATTTATTATGCGTACCCCGACCAGGATTTGCTAACTGCTTGGGTTTTTGACCGTGCTTGAGTTTAAACTTTCAAACATTTGTATTTGAGATTCCCTGGGTCTTCGTGTGCATAGGATAGGTATACAGTGTATACAGTGCGGCGTTGTTCCTCTTCCGGGTCCTTACCTGTCCAGGGTTTCGTTCTCGAGAGAGCGCAGCTTGTCGATGACCGGCTGCACACCGAGCATGAGGAACTCGTAGCGTAGGTGAAGTCGGAACTCGAGGCTCTCCTTGCCGGCGCCGTAGCTGAGCACGGCGTTGACGAAGGACATGATGGCCGTCTTTAGGCTCACATCGTCAGCGTAGGTGCCCGTGGACCGATCCAGATCGTTGACGATTCTCTGTGGAAAACGTATTTATTAAGTGCGCCGACAAACAGCCGGATTTTCATAATGTCCTCCAATGTCTTAGTGAAACCATTCCTGGTATATGAAACATGACGCTCATTTACATACCATGCCAGCATACACTGACAAGAACGCTATGTTCGGCGTGATCGCACAAGTATGTTTTCAAATTCTTTTTTGGAAGACTTGGAACACGACTGCGGAATGCGCGCCTTTGAGCACACAGTGTGACGCACACACGTGCGCGCTAACACTCAGCTCATACACACTGGTGAGAGGACAACTCTTTATGATAGTTAAACCAGCTTTACATCAAGTTAGCGGCATGCAGTACGGCTGGGCACGAGTACTCCATTGCAGCGTTGCGTCAAAATATTGGTTTTCCGTCGGACAGTTCGTACCTGAAACCTGGTCCTCTCCCCGGCGTATTTTTGGTAGTAAGCCATGGATTCCAGGACCTTCCTGTGTCCGCCCGGCACCAGGCACACAGCGCCCAGAATCTCAAGAACGGACACCTTGGTCTTGATATTCTCGCAGGAGAGGCTTTGGGAGATCACGTTGAGTCCGTCTGGGTGTACCAGCACATGAGACCTGCCATTCTGTGAAGCCGGAGGAGCAACGTCATGGGCGCGGCACTTGTGGGGGTGAGCAAGAGGTGCATCCACGGAGGACGCACCCTTGGTCGTCATGTAAAGTCGCAATTTTTGCTACCCACCTAGAGAGCTAAATTCATTTCACAACCATGCCTTGATGAGCCCCCAATGAAAATACGCATGACGGGTTTCTCGTTTGCGATAAAAATGAACGATAATAGCCCGCCGTCACTGTCTCCAAAACGTCATCGCCGTCACAATCTTCTTCGTTATCATCAGTCGTACCGTGTTGTTCATCAGCGCCTTAACACATCCGATGAGGCTGCTGTGGATGCTGCTCTCCGACTGTCTTGTGGTCCATAGAGTTGAGGAACCTCTGGCACGCCTCGAGGCCCTCCAGCTCCAGGAACTTGATGACGAAGGAGTTGGGCTGCGTGCGCAGGGCGGTCCGCAGCGACTCCAGCTGCTTGGTGCGCTTGGTCACCTCTTCGTCACTCGAGGCGGGGAACGGCAGCTGGAGGTGTGGCGCGAACCGTTAGCTTTATCGTTGTTTTTCTTCCGAGCAGCACAGTCCCCGTCACGATCTGTCACCTAGGCCAGTTTGCCGGTGCTTGTCACACCGACACTCCCGTCATCGCCAGCGTGTAAACACGGACAGACGCGGACAGTTGCGCCCCGGTCCGTTACGACGCGGACCCCGATCTAATCTCAATGTCTCGTTCGATGTCTCAGCTGCGCTAATACCTTACAACCGCAGCGGAATTTGCGGGGCGGCGGTGGGTCCCAGCTGCGCTAATGCCCTGCAGCCGCAGCGGTGTTTGCGGGGCGGCGGTGGGATGCGGGAGCGGGATGTTGAAGGGAGCAGATCACGCAGCGTTCGCACGCCGACATCGAAGACCAGTGACAGCACGTAGGGCGCAGAAATAAAGCGCAGGATCACAACTTGGGGTCACCACAAGCTTGAAGCGCGTCGACACCGCTAATGCAGTCCGTTTATCGCCCTATCGTAAACCCATCTCCTCAGCTTATCACGCCATTAAGGCGCTAATGAGTTGGGCAATGCACGCTCTCGTTAGCATATCTACATGCGAGGCTATCTGTCACTCGCCTGTGGCCGTCGCTTCCGTATGGTTAAGACGCTGCGCCTGACCAGCACGGCCGCCTAGTCCAGCTCAGTTACGGAGGCCACGTGATGCCCGTGAGCATGAGCGCGCAGTGGCGACCGTGAATCCAGCCGTTTGCAGGAGCCAGTGATGGTGGCCATGGGGTGGGGAGCAGGGTCACCTGCAGGAGCCAGTGATGGTGGCCATAGAGGGGTGAACAGGGCTCCCTCCAGGAGCCAGTGATAGTGGCCATGGAGGGGTGGACAGGGCTGCCTGCAGGAGCCAGTGATGGTGGCCATGGAGGGGTGGACAGGGCTGCCTGCGGGAGCCAGTGATGGTGGCCATGAAGGGGTGGACAGGGCCACCGGGCTGACTTTGTCCGACGGTGGGCCGTACGCGCTGGTACCTAACCATTGCTGCGAGGCGGCAGGCAGGACAGTCAGTTCGGCTGCGTCCCGTGATGAGATCACTGTCTGGCGTTCCGTCCGGACAGCCCCCCCCCCCTCGCCGTGCGCGACGTCACAGGGGCGCGGCCGCGGTCCGGCTGCGCCGCCAGCGCGTCACGAGGGAGTAACAACGGTGGCGGGGCGCCGGCGGTCCGGCTGCGGTCCAGCGCCGGGCGGACCTATAATCGGGGCATCGGACAACCGGTCTGCCGGCAGGCAGCCACGGCCGCCCGGCCGCCCGTGAGCGGAGCGGGGTGAGGGGCGGCGGCGGCCAGCAGGCGGACCGGCCAGCCCTCACCGCCGGCCCCGGTGGCCCAGCAGGGCCGGCATTCCGTTAGTGCCACCGGCCGGGTGCGGTTCAAGCTTTTGTACGGGGACCGGTCGCGGCGGTGTCCTTATCGGGACAAAAGAGAAGGGCATGACATTGCCCACAGCCACGCGGAACAAAGCGCGGCCTTATGGTGCATGTGCGTGTCTAGTGCCACCATCTTCAGTCGGCTGCACACAACCAGCGCGCGCATCGTGTGCTGCTTCTTTTTTCACGCGTCTTCCATGATCGAACGCACAACACCCAAGGGCCGTTTTTTGGCACACTCGTCATCCACTGCATCTGCATGTGCCCTCCTCAGACTGACCAGGGGACGAGGGTCCGGCGCGCGACCGATGCGCCGGTGGAGAACGCCGGGGCGGGCGTGTCCAGCCGACGGCTGGGAGAGGAAGGGGAGGGGAAGGGGAGGGGCCCGGCCGCAGACCCGCTCCAGACACCCCGCCACAACAGCAGCGCCAGACGGCCTCGAGGTGCACCTACCCCGCTCAGCGTGCTGATCTTGTCGATGTAATAGTCGGGCAGCCGGGCCAGGTAGCTGTGGCCGTTCCCGTTGTCCGTGTCGTCCTGCAACGCGAGGCGAGCACGCTCAGCTGTGGCCACGTCGGGCGCCATGCGCCAGACCCGGATGGGCACCAGCACGGACCAAACCGGCGCGCTGGTGTCGAAGCGGCGGAGCCGTCCGATCTACCCGTCAGGGTGCACCGTTTTTTCATTAATCAAGTGGTGCATGCACGTCTCTCTCCGGTACAAGATGACCTTCGCGGCACACACGCTAGGCCGTGGTGATGAGCGAAGGACATAACCTTGGGCGGTGTTGACCTAGAAAAAAACCACCCCGAATCCGGCTCGTTCACAGCTTGTGTTACACGGCAGAGAAGTAGCTGGCTGTTCTCACATCGGGGGGGGGGGGGGGCATTCTGAGTGACCCGATCGGTGAGGGGTGTTGATTTGCCGGCTCTGGTTCTGGTGGCAGAGCGGAGGCGTGTGTGAGACGACCCTTGTGCTCGTCATCCAGCAGATCAACGTGTAGTGGACACGGAGGCCGAGGCGCCAGCGCGGTGGGATCATAGTGGCACACGCAATACGACAATTACGAAACTCACGAGCAAACGTCGACAAATCTACAACTTGTTGACTTCACAAAGCAAAAACTTTGGCGTACAAGCTAAGGATGTTGATGGAAGCCTGAACTTAGCATGCTCATACATCTGTGAGTGAGCTACCCAACACGTGTGAAATGTTCAACATTAAGCATAGTTCCAACTACGGTCCATCCCATGCAATGGTGGAAGTAAAACACGCAATTCACGCGATTCAGGCGCGAAGGGTGATGTCAAGCATGCTGTCAGCCGTCAGAGTGGTGACACGAACCACGGTCCGGCGGCGGATTACCGCCATAGGCCGCCAAAGCCTAATCACTCAGGAAATCGACGCGAACTAGTCCGAATGTCTGCTATTCCAATTTTTATTTAATAATTCAAAGACGTGAACCTAGCTCGGATGACGTTCGCGAACGTTTTCACTCGCCTGTAAGCATTAGCATTTTTGCCTCATTCATACCAGGAGTCCATTTCCACCGTGATCGTTCGACCTTCAGCCACCCAGGGTCACGTACGCAGCGCAGCCCCGGAATGCAGGCGTTCGGGAATCGCATTCCGACGGCGCTTTACAGTTGGTGGCGACGCGGGCTTCAAACACGGTAAAGCGCGCGGTGCCAGCCGCGAGAAAAAGCTTATAAACTGACAGTTTCCCAAAGGTCTGCGCTTGGTGAATGGCGTTACTGCGGTAGTGCATAACAAGTCCACTATTCAACTCGTAAGGATTGTTTAGGGGGATGTGCCGGCCCGGTGTAAGGTGCTGGCCCGAAAAGGACAAGAAATATCGGCAAAGCAAAGGCCTAAAATAGCACGTTCTTTTTATTTATACCCAATGTCGTAACAAAACAATAACTTTCTGTTTAGAAGCATCGCCTAGGATGCCGAAGTGAGCTTGAGGCAAACCAGGTAATCCAAAATTGTCATGGTTTGATCAGCCCCTTTGCAGTGTACTGCTGCGCCAGTGATGCCTTTGATATGTGAGATTCGATACATGAGTCTTGAGCAGGGCGACAGGAACAAACAAAGCCGCGATACAGTGGACAGGCAGCACTCAGTGACTGTTAATCGCGACACGTTGCAGAGACCCTATCAACGGTCAAACAAAGGGGACGGTGTCTCGTGCGTGCAACAGCCACTCAGCCTCACCAGATTCACGAAGATGCTCGCGCATTGCCAAGGCTAGGCGGTCCCACGCGAACACATTTGTGGATGCACTGGACTAGAGTCGCCTTGTCTGCGACCTTCCGGCGGTGGACCCAGGGAGACAGGATGACCAACGACGGCCTATCCCCAGGAAACGGACGCCAGGAACCAGTTCAAAGGGGCCTTGGGGGCACGTGGCCCCTTTCCATTTTACCGGCCTTAATATGCTCGTCAATAAATGCTGACGATGCGAGATCAAACTAGACACTTAAAATAAGTAGATTGAGCACATGCAACAGTCATGTACGACACGGAAATAATTTTGGGCTTGCGGTGGGTTAGAATATTTGTTTTTCAGGACAAATTTTGAAGCATGCCACCGATTGTACCATCCTGCATCTGCAAGTAAGGGAGATAAGATTGCGTTGTGGAGCAGCCACGCCTTATCTTCGATCTCCCAGAAAAGGGAGGACCGAAGGACGGACACAAACACGTTTTATTGCCTTCTTGGAAGGTCTCTGGATCTTAAAGGCCGTCAATAGACCGATTGGACCGGATATTTTTTTACTGCGGACAGCCTTGTAGCGGTCGTATCGCACTGAGTTAGACGGCCAAACTCGTACACCCGTACCTGCTTGTATCACAGTGAATTAGACGGCCAAGTTCGTACACCCGCACCTGCTTGTATCGCAGTGAATTAAACTGCCAAGCTCGTACACCCGCACCTGCTCGCACTCCAGTCCAGGCAAGTAGAGCTGTAACTTTTCCATTGCCACGACTACGGGTTACACCACGCGCGCCCGGCGAGCCACCGGAGTCGGCAGATGCGCGGCGCCCGACTTTCACACACGTCCGTGTTGCCTCGTGCCACAGTACGCGCCACAGGTCACTCGGTCGGCGCTGGCATCAAGCCCCGACAGCTTGCCGATGACGGCAATTTAATTTGGACCTTTAATCAGCTGGCAAAAACTCGCCCTGAAACAAGGGTCGTTTATCTCTGGTGGATGACAGCAGGCATGCGTTGCGTGTTTTTTGGCCGGCGCTATCCACGTACCTTTTTCTTTCGGCTGCAATAGAGCTGCCATTTTTTCTCGAGCGGCAGGTCCAGCATGGCTGACCGGTTTGCCGCCGTTAGATCCAGTTCCTCCTGTAAGGCATAGACAGTGCTTGAGAAAGCTTGATCATTGAGGGCTGTGTAGTAGGTCAGGATCGGGGCGCTGGGGATAGTCCGGGCCAGGCACTCTGGGTGTCCTGGCGGGGACGGCAGGACAGCAACTCTCAACGAACAAGATTAGACAGCCAATAGCGGGCCTGTCCCCACTGAGTGGAAACAGGCGGCCGTCGACGTCAGCGCTCCTGACAGGCGTATCTCAGCGCATGAACTGCCAGTTCCCAGTTCAGCCCGGGGCGACCCAGCCGGTTGTTGACTGTTGTCTGTCGACTGTTGTTGACTGTTACGCGTCGGCTGTTGCCAGGCGTGCGGCGCATAACGTGATGGAACTAATGCGTGCATCGTCAGGCATCACACCACCGACCCGCGTATCGCCGCTCCCAGCGTGAGAGCGGCTGAGGGAGCGGGGATGCGGCGTATGACGGGATGAGTCACCCATGTACGCGAGCATACACCAACCAATATCGTCCACAGTATGTGACGTGGGCCATCAGGCGACAGCTGGCGGAGACCAGGCGACGTCCAGCCGACATGACAACTCCGTCGGCGGCGGCCACCCGACCGGCTCACCCAGACTACAGCAAGGGCAGACAGCCAAGGCCGCCGGGTCACCGAGACACGCCTTGTTCTGTCAACCCACGCGACCGATGGACGCCGAGAGCGTCACGAGTCACGCGCCTCCGCATGTTAGCAGCCAGAGTGGCCGGCGCCCCGGCGGCCCTGCCGCCCAGCAGCGCTGACAGCTTGTGAAAGTCTTCCGACTGGCCACCTGCGCCCCAGCCCGCGTGACGTCAAGAACAGGTTGGCCAGGCCGGATTTCAGAGCGGTGGCTCATGTCGGGCGCGTGGAATGTGCCGGAGCGTTACTGCTGAGCTGCCGGACCTCGGGCGGTACACGAGCCGTGGCTGACAGATCGGGCGAGACACGAGCCGTGACCGACAGACCCCGGGCGGGACACGAGCCGTGACTGACAGACCTCGGGCGGGACACGAGCCGTGACTGACAGACCTCGGGCGGGACACGAGCCGTGACTGACAGACCCCGGGCGGGACACGAGCCGTGACTGACAGACCTCGGGCGGGACACGAGCCGTGACTGACAGACCTCGGGCGGGACACGAGCCGTGGCTGGCAGACCAGGTGGGATACGAGCCGTGACTGGCAGACTTCGGGCGGGACACAAGCCGTGACTGGCAGACCCCGGGCGGGACACGAGCCATGACTGGCAGACCCCGGGCGGGACACGAGCCGTGACCGACAGACCTCGGGCGGGACACGAGCCGTGGCTGACAGACCGGGCGGGACACGAGCCGTGACTGACAGACCAGACGGGACACGACCTGTGACTGTCAGACCGGGTGGAACGCATCGAACAGGACGCACCCCACCCCAGCCGCGCGGACGGAGCCAAGGAGTAGCTGCACGCTTCCTATGCAGACAGCTTGACGGCGGCCTCGGCAGATCAGATACCGGATACCGGGCACGGTGTTGAACAAATCCCTCACACCACCCGAGATAATGTAACAGCATGCTGGGCTGATCACATGTAGATCTGAACACCCGGTGATCACAAAGAGTGATACGGTTGGTGAAATCATGCGCGATTATGCAAAATATCGACCAGCCCATCGCGTAGTCGCCTTTGGATTACTGGGTCACGGAGGAGCCGATGACGGATGCAGAAAACCGGCTCGGGGCCCGCTCGCTGTGGGGATCAAAAGTTCACACACACCGATGTCGACGAGGCGAACCGCTGACCCCAGGAAGTGGGCCAGCAGCCGACCGCCATCCTTTTGCATCCCTCCCCCAGCTCCTGCCCGTGAGACGGCCGACGCCGGCGTCGGCGGTGCGGCGCGGCTGACACCGGCGTCGGTGGACGCGGCGCCGCTGACACCGGCGTCGGTGGACGCGGCGCCGCTGACACCGGCGTCGATGGGCGCGGCGCCGCTGACGTACCAGCACTTCCAGAAACTTGGCTTCCACCTCGTCGGCACGCGGCATGGGCTGCGTAGGTGTCAGCATCTGGAGGTGGAGAGCGTCACCAGACTTGCTGACGCAGTAGGTGATCTCCGGAGGCTCGTCTTTCTGAAGCCAGACAGCAGGGGCACTGGTCAGCTGGGCAAACGGTGGGGTGAGGCGTTGAGAACACGATCAGAAACGTTTTGAGCATTGTGAAATTTCTCGAGTTCACTTGTCACTGGAGTGGCGCAGAACATGGAAACAACAAGATGTAGTCACGTGTAAGTTCGAGCTGACCGGGAGCGCCGCCCTGGCTCCTCAGCCAGCCCCAGATAATCGACCGGTTCAAACAGGCGCCGAGCAGCCTTGTGTTCCCACGTGCGACCAGACGTGAGGACGCCATGCGGTGATGAGCTATTCAGACGGAGCGCGGAGCGGCGCTGCGTGGGAGCGACCTGGGCCGCGCGCCGCCGACTGTGGGACGTCCTGGTGCGGTCAGCCGGCCGTTCGGTCCACCGCCGCCGGACAGATGCTCGACGCTGCGGTCAGCCAGCGCGCCGCCACCCGGCGGACGCGGCGGCCCGACGCCGGTCAGCACGACGGCCGCGAGGCTCGACGCTGCGTCCGCTCTTTGACTCGGGCGTCGCCCGCTGATCGACTCATCACGACGGTCCGCTACCAGATCTACGTAACAGCCAGCAGACGTTCCGAAGCATCCGGTCACATACTGAACACAGCGTGCATCCGAGGAAAACAGCAGCGCTCGGCAGACGGCTCAGCGCGGCGGCTAGTCAGCGGGTAAGGACAGATCCATTGACGGCGGGCAGCAGTCATGTCCGGTCACTGGATCCCCAAACGCTGCAGGACCATTCAAGGCCTCATGCACGCCCCGGGCGATAATGATGTGCACCACTGGCCCCCCGCAACGTCCGGCTACGTTTCACGGCGGGTTCATCCGAGGCGTGTGCTGTCAACCACTGACTAACCACTGGCCACGGGCTCACAAAAAATAAACTGTGCTGAATGATTCATGGCATCTACGCGCTAGTCAATTGCGTCCCCTTCTCACTGTCCGATTCCCACCTTCACAAAATGACGCATTACATCCCGGAAACCAGGTGACTGTTTTTCACAATGTTCCCTCTCTGACTCAGGACCACGCCCCAGGCCCGGGGAGCGATCGAGTTCTCTGAATCCTCCGCGCCGCGCTCGGCTCCCTGAATGCTCCAGGACACACGGCTGTTCCGCAAGAGCGACCGCTGACGGTTGACGGCCGCATCGGATCCAGAGCCCGCCCCTCAAGGTCCGCAGATTATTCACAGTCCACGTCCACTGTAAGCATCTCCAGCGGCGCCCCAACCAGCTCAACAGTAGCCGAATCAAGTGCTTAGGCAGATTCGCGCAGCGATTTCGGCGCTAATGCCAGCGGTCGTGCGACCGCAGCCTAGATCGTTGACATTTTCTTCGACCGTTCCACCGCAGCCCAGTCGGTGCACAATTCCGATAATCATCGGCCGCCAATCCGCGGCTCGGCGGCTTATGATAGCCCCGGTAGCGGGACAGCACCTGTGTTAATAAAAGTCCGACCGTGGTGCGACCAGACCTGGCCGACGTCGGCTCCGGTCGATCGGCGAATCAGGTAGCGGGACAGAGCCTGCGGCGGTGGGACACGGCCGTGGCAGCGGCGCCAGGCCACGGCGGGCGCACAGCGACGCCGGCAGCGCCGCGCCGCGAGCTCGCTCAGCGCCGGCGTCGGCCGAGCTCCAGCCAGCTGTGGCAGCTCCAGCTCGGCGCCGGACGTGGGACTCGCGGCTCACCTGGAGACAGCGGCACCAGCGCAGCTGGGTGCGCACGCCCTTGAGCGGCATCTTGGGCCGGCCGAAGGCGCTCCAGTCGAGCCGGGAGAGGCCGCCGGTCAGACGCGCGCTCAGCTCGGAGCCGAGCGTGCCCAGCCGCCCCAGCGGGCACCACAGCGAGCCGGCGTCGACGTCCGGCTCCGGCGCGCCGGCCGGCGACTCGGCCGCGTCCGCCGACGGCGCCTTCAGCTCCGTCTGTAACAGGAGGAGGAGCAATGTCAGGCCAGGTCGGCGGCGTCTGTGGCAGACGTGTCACGTGGGGTCGGTACCGTTCCTAGGGGGAGGGGGTGATCAAGGTCAGCACTGCCTGCAGCAAGAGGACAGCCACGTAATGACGGTAGAGGCAGGGAGACGAGCCAGTTCACGAGCGGTCGACCCCGTCCGTGAGAGGACAGGCAGTGTCGCATGAAGACGGCACAGGCTGCGAGAGGCCGCTGTCAGTGTCACATGACGTCGGCATAGGAGGCTCGTGGCATTTGGAAGAGGCCAGTGTAGCATTTGCCTATTGAAACACGGTATCCACACGTGCTCCTGGAACTGAAGAAAAGTCAAATATAAGTCATCAAAAATCCTTCGCAGCATGGCTGGTTTACAGGGGCATAAAAAATATCGATGTCGGTTAACACGGGTTCACGGTGCGCGACTGTCTTCATTCGGGAGGATCTTACTCAGACAGATCACGCGCTGTGTGGAGCAACCAGTTTCCGACCGGATTGTATCCAGCTGACTACCACGGCAACCACACATCACGAGCTGGCACCGCTTACAGGTGCGCCAGATCGACATCCGAACAGCGCCGCTCCCGCCCAGAAAGGCCACAGTTGGTGTCTGTCGACCCTGCCCACGTCACCGCGGACGCCTCGGCCACGATGCAACGATGCTCGTGTAATGCAAAGATGCCCGAGCCACGAAGCCGGCGTTCCGTGAAGGTTCATTGCAGCCGGCAGCGAGGCAGCGCAGTCCACTAACGGGGCGCATCCTTGGTTCTCGCCGGGCGCGGGCCTACCGGGCAGGCGGCAGTGGCAGCCACGCGCGAGCTCGCTCAGAGCACGTGGGCATCGGGCCAGCCATGGACGGCGCGACGCACGCCGGGTGACTGATCAGCCGACGGTGGCACGGAACGGCTGGGACAACACCAGCATAGTCATCGGGGGCGTGTCACGCGTCAAAGTTCTGTATAAAACATTATTAAAAGCCGAATACGTACCAGACGTCACACACGAGACCAGAAACCAAGGACAACAAGAAACCGCAAGCAAAATTGCAAGCCTGCATTTATTCCATCTCCAGTGCTCCACCCCGTACTGCTTTGGTGATTGCCTCAGACACCAACACCAGCACTAGCACCACACGCCTTCGCGTAGTGCCCCGCTGTGGGGCACGTCCGCCGATCGCCTCCTCGCGCCCAGTGCTGTCGTTGGTCGGCGCAGTGGCCTGGCATAAGTCCCGCTGGCCGCTGGCGTGCTAGGCAATTCACATTTAGCTGCTGACGTCTTCCCGATCAGCTGCGTCTTCCCGAGCGTTACAAATCGATCGCCGTGTCAAGCGCGGCTTCGAGGTGATGCAGCCCGGACCGATGACCTTTCTGGGGTTATTTCACAACGCGTTGGACTGCCCAGGTTATGAAGGTTGCAAGCCGCTGACCTTAGGAATACCGGAGCACGCTCGTACATGGGCACGGTAAGCGCTGCGCCATTTGCAACAATCGTGAGCTTCCGCCAAGGGCGCTGCCACCGGCTGATCACGGGGGGGGGGGGGGCAGAAGGGGGGGGGGGGGGAGTGCAGACATCAACTAAATCCTTTCCATGCAATGTCCTCGATAGAATGCCGACTTCAAAAACTAACGGTAGAACGCGGCCCCTGCGGTCCCCGTCCCGTCCCAGAGTAAGCCGTTCCCATGGCATCGAACCCCCATCCCCTCCCCCCTTTCTCCGTCCGTCATCACCGGTCCGGCTGTTATTAAGACCAGAGGCAAACGGCCAGGCGACCGCAGCACACAGCAGCTGTTGTGCCGCAGGGAGTCCTGAATTACGCACGGCTCGGATCGATACCGTACCGAGCCGGCCAGTGACGGACGGGTACGGCCGGAGCACGGTGGGACGCTCTCACCTGACGGAGGAGGCACAGCGCCACCAGGACGGCCGCCAGACAGAGCAGCGGCGGCCCCGGGCCGGCCAGCAGCGTCCGACCGCAGACCGTGGCCAGCCAGGCGCCCAGGCAGAGCCACATGCCGCCGCCGCCGCCGCCGCACACCGTACACCCACCGCACGCGCCCGCAGCGCGGCCCGCTCCTGCCGCCGCCGGCACGGACGGCACGGCCGGCCGGGGGAGCGGCTCCGGACGGCAGGAGGGCGCGGGTCGCGCCGCGCGCCGGGCGCGGGGACAGAGGGTCGCAAAGTGACGTTGGCCGATGCCGAGTCTCGGGCGGGCGGGGGACAGGAGGTCCGACGCTCCGGCGCCGGCCGGCCGCCGACGGACGCGCTATTTCGGGCGGCCCGAGAGGCGGCGTCGGCGCTGGGGCACGCCCCCTCCTCCGTCACTGGCGCCTCGCACCGCGCCAGTGTCCTCATTTCAACGAATGCTGTGACACACCAACAGTCATCCATTGATCCCGGGTGGAATCCGGCAGCCCTGGTAATGTTCGTCCGGTGCAAAACGTCCGTTTCTCGAAGCAAATGCTGGAAGGAAGAGAAATGGGAAACAGCATTGCGTGAAGTGGACGTAAAGATGAGAAAAAGGAAATGGAGAGCAGGTTGGGGAGAGCGGTGGGCAGGTATCGCAGTGCGGTTCGCATGTAAATATGAATGCTTGTTATTGCACCACTAGCGTCCGGTCTGCTGAACAGCTCGTTCCCTCGCTTCAGCTTTAGTTTCATCATCTCAGTTATTTTCTGCTCAGGACACATCAGGCGTTTACTGAACACCCGCTGGCCTGGCGCTGATTTGTCAAGCATTAGCAGAGCTGGCCATTACCGCAGCGGTTGAGACTAACTGCTAACCAGTCTTCAATGAAAAATCGCTTCCATCGCAAGCTCAGATGGTACGTGTGGTTATGTCATGACATGTCATGCCATATCATCACGTGTCATGTCCGCGTGTCATGTCATGTTGTCATGTGGTCATGTGGTTATAGGGGTGCGGTCCACTAACGACCAGGGGCACATCAATGCGACACAGCTGTGCATGGATAATTGATAATGTGAACTGCTGCACGTCAATATAGGTGCACCTCGCTTACTGAATAACAGTAAAAACCTCACCTTGACCGCCAGTACATGTCTCCGTTTACGCAGCTTGCAAGCCAGTATGCTTGCACAGTTAAGACTTGTGTCTGTCTCATTGGGGAATGCCTAACTGCTGTCTGATCAATAATCGATACACATTGCACGCATTAGAGGAAGCTCAGGTTATTACCATTGAGCACGGACACCTGCTTTCCCGGATGGGCGAAGCTCCGAACGCTGTGGGGGAATCTCGGGAACCACGTGGCGCGAGGCCGAGCCGAGACATTACTCCACTTCCTTACGTACGAAAACGCACTGATACTTTTTCAACCAGTCACAAAAAAACAGGGAAAGTTCTGTAGCATTGATCGGGAAATCGTGATAAGGACCGACCAAGGTTAATCCGGAGTTAGACCGTGGCAAATGACCGCAGTCGCCTTGCGCCATGGCTGCGGGGACGCTCCGGCCCCTGTAATCCGGCGTCATAGGCCAGGTTGAACCGCTGACCAGAACGTGTTGGCCTCGCCGGCTATCGCGGGGCGAGCGTGCTCGACAGGCGGTTCGTTCTCACCGCGCGTTAATAGAGGCCTAATGCCGTGGCTGAATGGTTCTCGAAATCCCGCTCGTCTCAAATGGTCTCTGACCGCTTTGGAGATAAGGAGTGGCCCTACCACGCCACCAACATCAAACGCCGCCAAGCCGGCGCCGGGCCCGTAACGGCCGCCTGCCACGCGACATCAACCTTCGTCTTCCGCTTTACGGCCGGCGACGCAGCTGATGCGCCAGCCAAGCCACGCCAAGCCAAGCCCTGTCCGGATCGTCTGCCCAGGCGGCGGCTGGCCACGGACCGTGCGTTGCGCAGCCCTGATGCCCGCGGCCGCGGCGTCCCGGGATCGCCCGCGGCGGGCTGCCTGGCCGCCGGAGCTGGGCCAGCCGCCCGTCAGCCGCGCCGGAGTCCCGGCGTCGCCGCACGAGGCAGCGCCAGAGCCGGGCCAGCCGCCCGTCGGCCGCGCCGGGGTCCCGGCGTCGCCGCACGAGGCAGCCGATCGCCAGCCGCCGGCCCGAAACACGGCCGGTCCGCTTCCGGGTGCAGGCGGTGGGCACGTGCGCGCCCAGGTGTGCCACCGTCGGTGGCTGTATAAACACGGCCGATCTCCCTGAGCCGCCCGCAGAGCTGCCGCGCCGCCGCCACCAGCAGGTGCGCCGGGCAGCGATGTCGGCACACTGGCGCAAGACGGGCCGGTCGCGGCAGGCGGAGCGGCAGGCGGAGCGGCACACGCGCCGCGACGGCCCGCGTGTCGCCGCTAAAAACTCCCACCGGAGATTGCTTAATTGGGTGTGAGCGGTGGACAGTAATAGATAATTCGGGGTCACGCGACGAGATGTGGGGGTGTTTTCACTGCCAGCGGAGTGAGGCTGGGAGGTGGTGAGGGTCGCGCGCGTGAGGGATTAGAAAAGAGAAGGACTGAAGCCTTGGCAGGATGGAAGGAAAAAGAGAAACGAAAGATGCCACGACGTTGCTGAAAAGAGAAGAGGGGGGAAGAAAGATGCTGATATACCTATTCTTTCTTGAGTCACTTGTTTCATTTTTGTAAATGAGCTGATATTCATGTCCGTGACTTAGGGCTTCTTGTTGGGTACACCTCTATTAATGATGAAGGTGCTGTTTATGTGATGACCATACAGATATGCCGACACAAACAAACCACCGTTGTTGTCGACACATGTTATGTTAGGCGAATTTTGGAGGGTCGGCAGCCAAGTTGCTTACTACAAAATACAAACTTCCCCGACTTTCAAGAGAATGCAGACCATCATTAGATATCTGACTCTTACAGAACCATTATCAGATATCCGAGTGAGTGGAAGGGGAGACGGAATAAAGAGATGAAGTTCACCGATTTATTATCCCGTAATTTTCGCAAAGAAACATCGTACGTACGGTGGCACGTTACATAGCTCTGCCTTGAAA